ATATTCATGTGTTCAAATTATAAGGATTTTCTAATATATTATACACATGAGTAAAATCGATTTACGCAACAATTGAGTTCGGAATGGTAACTGCTCGATTAAAATTCACCGTTAAATACGGTCGAATCAGAAATTGTTAGTCTATTTTTCAACAACATCCGCACGGTGTGCGATTCGAGAACGTTTACGTGTATTTGAAGTCTCTGCATCAACCAAAATATCGCTATCTGGAGCAATTGTTGGGATGAAATAGGTTACTTTACGTTCGCGAACAACTGCGACGTTGTGCCAACGAACGAGGCTTTGCCCAATTCCGTGTTCGTGTTCGACAACGTTGTCTGCGACAAACAGGATGCGATAAGGGAGTATTTCGCGATGGGTCGTTACTCAAAAGTCGATTGCTTTTATCTCTGTCAAACATACGCCAAGATACCAAAACATCTGATTCGCGACAACGCGAATTTGTTGATACTGTTCCGACAGGACGGCACGAATCTTCGGCACGTTTACAACGATCACGTCAACACCGACATGTCGTACAATGACTTCTCGGAACTGTGTCGCGCGTGCTAGAGGCGAAAGTACGGTTTTGTTGTGATAGACAAGAAGAGCTCGTTTCGCAAAGGCAAGTACAGACACGAGTTCAACGAGTTCGCCGTGCCGTAGACAGCGACAGTTGCACGGTATGTCGAGCAACGACGAGGCTTCGCGCGCGTCGGCGTTGACCGCCGATATCGACGAACGCGAGCGTTTGGTGAAAGAGATCGCTCGAACGCGCGAATCGATACGCAAGAAACATCAATCGTTGAAAACGGGCCGCATCGAGGACGAGCTTGCTCTCGAACGACAATTCAAGCCGATTGTTGAACCGTTGCAAGAACTTGTGAAGAGTGCAAAACCAACGAAACGTTTTTATACAGCGGGTGTGAAGAAGAAACTCGAAGACGACGCGGCGACAAGACCAACGCCGTTAAAACCAAAAAGACGCCGATCAAACGTCGCACCGTTGACAATATTACCCTCTTCTATAGGTGATAATAACAACAGCGATGCGATCCCAACGCCCAAGCCGCCTGCGTCGCCCACGTTGCTCGAACGCACGGTCGATGAACTCGCGCGAACGAGCGACGGCGAAACGAGAAACAAGTTGCTCCAGCGTTTGGGACCGTTGGGTCGCAGATACATCGGCGCTCTGTTGAACACCGACAGAATCGAAGACCATTGACACAACATTCGGCGTGTACTTTGGCGAGGAGAGTACGATACTCGGCAGCAAGCGCTTCGACGTCGGTTCCGACGACTCTATCATCGTGGACGACGTTCGATACGCGGGCACACCGGGTCTGTACGAATTGATATTCATAAAGCAGCCCGACAGCACCGCGTATACCGAGAGCGACAAACGCGTGTATCGCGATTTGTTGCTGACAACTAACGCTCACAGACGGGATCATCGTCCCACAGCGCCTGTAAAGAGCAACAAAGGCTAAAAGCACAAAAATATCGCACCGTTGTTCTTCAACGTTCACCAAACGACGGGTGAGAGATTGCATCCGATCGCCATGAAATTGACCAACAATGCGATAGATTACATACACTGGGACAATCCCAACGAACTCGTGGATCGTTTGAGATTGTTGGAGGCGTCTCGTCGCGCGGGAAACGACTCGCATGACAACGAGTTTTTGTCCATCATCGAGGAGCTTCGCGAGGCGGGAGTGATTATAAATTGAACCGTTGCTCGGCGAACGTCGACAGTTCCCGTTTTGCGCGCGCGCGATGAGTGTAAACAAATTCGGTTCGTCGTTGCACCGTCGCGGTTACGTTTACAACGTCGGTCAATCACGTTTTCAAATAACGAATTTGCGCAATTACGTACGCGACAACGCTCTCTGTTTATCCGCGACGTCATCGCCACCCGAATACAATGCGAAGGAGCGCGCGATAACTCGTTTGATGAAACCGCGAAACAATTCCGACGCCGCGACCAAGATCTACGTAGACGACGCTGTCACGCAAGAGATCAACGCCGCATATCGCCGCCACGTGAAACATTTTCTCAATCGACATCAGTTCGACGATCATAAAATACACGCGGAGCACTCGAGCAAAGAACTGAGCAAGGACATTGAGCATTTGCGAACAAACGCGTACGATTGATTGAATAAGCTGGAGAAGAGACCGCGGGGTGCGGATCCGCGCGAGATAGAGGACTTGAGAAAAGATCTGGAGAAATTTCGCAAAGAAGTGGGAGAGGCGATTGAGACTCTGAGAACAAACGCGTACGATCGATTAGTACAGTTAGAGAATGTGTGCACGGAACAGATAAAAAAGTTAGTTAGTGAGTGAAAAGACTTTATCCACACTAACCTGCGCAAGACCGTGCGAGAAGGCAGCCAAAGTGGACATGAGCATCGAGAAGAGAAAGCTCGCAGAGGAGCTGCACGCGCCCGCGCGACGCAACTTTCCGCGCAGACGAGTCGTCGTGCGCGGTTACGACGATCTGTGGCAGGCCGACGTGGTCGAGATGCGCTCTTACGTTCGTCAGAACAAAGGTCGCAACTACATTCTCACAGTCATCGATGTGTTGAGCAAGTACGCGTGGGCGTTGCTGCTTAAGAGCAAGAGCGGCAAAGAGGTCGCTGGGGCGTTCGCGAAGATCTTTCGCACCGACGATCGTTGTCCGACGAATCTGCAAACCGATTGCGGCAAGGAGTTCTACAACGCGGATGTGGAAAATCTGATGCATCGGCACGGCGTCAATCACTACTCCACATATTCTGTTATGAAAGCGTCGGTGGTTAAGCGTTTCAATCGCACGCTCAAGAACAACATGTGGAAAATGTTTACGCTAAACGGATCGTATCGCTGGATCGACGATCTGCAGCGACTTGTAGCGGAGTACAACGCGCGCAAGCATCGCACCATCGGCGCGCGGCCGATCGACGTAACGCCGGCTTCGAGCGAGCGACTCCTGTGCACGGTGTACAGCAACGTCAAAATCGCAGGACCGGCGCGATTCAGAGTCGGCGATCCTGTGCGCGTGAGCAAGTACAAAACTATCTTTGCGAAGGGTTATACTCCAAACTGGACCACCGAGGTGTTCCGCGTTAAAAAGATGCAACAAACTTCACCAGCGACCTACCTGCTCGAGGATTATCGCGGTGAACCAATAGCCGGTGGATTTTATGAGCACGAGTTGCACGCGGTTAAACATCCGGATGTGTATCTCGTAGAAAAGGTTCTGCGTCGTCGAGGCAACGAAGTGTTGGTCAAGTNGTTGGGACTAAACAATTCACACAATTCCTGGATAAATAAGAACAATGTGGTCTAATATTATTATTATTACGCTATGTGTACTCTCTTTAATTCTTATGTTTACAAAGTAGTACATATGTATTTTTTTTATACAATAAAAATAATTACATATACTTCATTTAATGTGTATTATTATTATTATTATATCATCAACATAATCTAATCTAAGTTAGGGATTTTGTAGTGGCCCCACGGTAAGGTGTCGGTCGATCCATGGATGATGTACCGCTTGTCGTCGTGCGGGCTCAGAGCGAGCTTCCGTTCCGACAAGGTAAACACCTCGTGCAACTGGGATCGTATGCACGACTGCTGTCGCGTCAGTTCGGTTGCGTTCCGCAGACATTGCACGTAGTCGTCGAAGGTGATCGTTCTCGCGACGACGCTTCTCTTCACACCTTTCACCTTCTTCGTGCACTTGCTGTCGCCCACTCGAGTCGCGTACATCTTCGCGCGCAAACCCACAAACTCCGTCATAACAGCACCGTTGTTTTCATCCTTCATAAGTCCCGGTACCTTCTTGTTTGCGCGAGGCATGTTGTATAGATTGTCCGCTGGATAGTCGCTCGTATCAAAACGAGCGATATCGCGCTTCATATCCTCATACACATCCTCGCACTTTATGTGGTATATTAAACTATCGGTATCGGTGTAGAGGATCTCTCAATCGTAACCATACAACGGTGCCATGTAGTCGTAATGGAATTCGTATAGACAGGTCTTTGATATGTCGAGTATGCACATACCGACGTACAACGGTTTGTTGAATAAAACTTTCAGACGACGCAGTTCTATGGCCACTAAATCTTCAGCAAACACGCTGCGGCTGTGGAAGTTTGGTTTTGCAATGAGCGCCTCCGCACCGCATCGTCCTTCCCATTTTGTAACGAGTCGTACGTCGGTGTACTTGCGCACATTCTCCATCGTCTTGCAAAACACCGCGTTGTTCATGAGTTTGTAAAGGTTCTTTGCAAACTCGTTGGTGGCGTTTGCGCGGAATCGGGTATTCAGTTCGATGTATCCGCGCAGCCAAGGCGATTGCGAGAACCGCAGTACTCGATGTATTCGCGTCAGGCGTAGCCCGTGTCGCAGACATTGCTGCAGGTTGAGGTAGTGAATCACATATCGCTTCTTGTTGAACACTGTAGCAAGCAGTTTGACGTGATTCTTTCCATATTTACCAGGCGGCTCCTCACGCGTTGGACAAAAGGGTAGATCTCTGTGCGCGTCGTGCAGTTCTTTCGGATACGTCAGATCGACCTCGAGTATGTAGCCAACGTTGCTGTCCGCCGCTACCGTTGTCATATCGAACTCGTACGCGTTCTCCACCCACGCAAAGTTACCATATGGAAACGGTTGACACATCGCCCATCCGTAGAGATTGTTAACGTCGTAGTACATCAGATACGACAACGGTTCGGATGGGTCATACGATTGCGCGTACCTGTTGTTGGCGCGGGCTATATCTGTTTGAACATTGACTCAAACCGCCGCGTATGCCGCGTTCCACGAACATCACCATGTCAATGTCAGTCAGCAGCTCGAACGTCACACGAGTGTACTTCAACATGGCGTCCCATGTATATCCCGGCAGCGTGTAGTAGGATATTCAGTCCGTAACTCGCGAGGCACTCGCGACGAAAGTTTTCGAATACATCAGCCAGCAAAAGTACGTCTGTCTTCAGATACAGGTCGCTGTAAGATTCCCAAATTGTCGATGTTGAATCGTTGCCAGACGTTCGTCGCGTGCGCGTACTCGCTCTCCGTCACAGTCTCACCGGTCAGCAAACTGTAAAACGCCTCGCGCGGTGGCAAACTTGTTTCCAACAGTTTGTCGACGCTGTTCACATATTCGTATGGAAACACATCTTTTCGCGTGAGCAGTTCGAAGTCCTCAGTGGAGAGATCGCTGAATTCCGTTCGAGTCACTTGCAGTTCGCTCTTGTCGAGATAGGACGCGAGCTTTTCTAAGCTTGTGCTCAGAAATTTGTACGAATCGATGAACCGCAATTGCACGCACTTCTGATTGTCTTCATCTCGAGTACTGCTCACATGTTTCGTGAACGATATGTAGGTCTCTTTTGTCACGGGCAGCACGTTGATCTCACCCTCGAAAGCGGTGGCCACATCCTTGATAATAAAATGCGCGTCGTATCCCGATAAGTTGTGGAACACAACGAGAACAACGTAGACTTGTTTGTAATTCAGATTGCATGCGGAGTGCGCGGGTCCTCTGAAGCGTCCCGTCAGATGACTGATCGCGCACTCTCATGTCATCTCGCTCAAACGGTCGTTCGCAAACGTGGCAACACTTNTCTCTCAATCGTAACCATACAACGGTGCCATGTAGTCGTAATGGAATTCGTATAGACAGGTCTTTGATATGTCGAGTATGCACATACCGACGTACAACGGTTTGTTGAATAAAACTTTCAGACGACGCAGTTCTATGGCCACTAAATCTTCAGCAAACACGCTGCGGCTGTGGAAGTTTGGTTTTGCAATGAGCGCCTCCGCACCGCATCGTCCTTCCCATTTTGTAACGAGTCGTACGTCGGTGTACTTGCGCACATTCTCCATCGTCTTGCAAAACACCGCGTTGTTCATGAGTTTGTAAAGGTTCTTTGCAAACTCGTTGGTGGCGTTTGCGCGGAATCGGGTATTCAGTTCGATGTATCCGCGCAGCCAAGGCGATTGCGAGAACCGCAGTACTCGATGTATTCGCGTCAGGCGTAGCCCGTGTCGCAGACATTGCTGCAGGTTGAGGTAGTGAATCACATATCGCTTCTTGTTGAACACTGTAGCAAGCAGTTTGACGTGATTCTTTCCATATTTACCAGGCGGCTCCTCACGCGTTGGACAAAAGGGTAGATCTCTGTGCGCGTCGTGCAGTTCTTTCGGATACGTCAGATCGACCTCGAGTATGTAGCCAACGTTGCTGTCCGCCGCTACCGTTGTCATATCGAACTCGTACGCGTTCTCCACCCACGCAAAGTTACCATATGGAAACGGTTGACACATCGCCCATCCGTAGAGATTGTTAACGTCGTAGTACATCAGATACGACAACGGTTCGGATGGGTCATACGATTGCGCGTACCTGTTGTTGGCGCGGGCTATATCTGTTTGAACATTGACTCAAACCGCCGCGTATGCCGCGTTCCACGAACATCACCATGTCAATGTCAGTCAGCAGCTCGAACGTCACACGAGTGTACTTCAACATGGCGTCCCATGTATATCCCGGCAGCGTGTAGTAGGATATTCAGTCCGTAACTCGCGAGGCACTCGCGACGAAAGTTTTCGAATACATCAGCCAGCAAAAGTACGTCTGTCTTCAGATACAGGTCGCTGTAAGATTCCCAAATTGTCGATGTTGAATCGTTGCCAGACGTTCGTCGCGTGCGCGTACTCGCTCTCCGTCACAGTCTCACCGGTCAGCAAACTGTAAAACGCCTCGCGCGGTGGCAAACTTGTTTCCAACAGTTTGTCGACGCTGTTCACATATTCGTATGGAAACACATCTTTTCGCGTGAGCAGTTCGAAGTCCTCAGTGGAGAGATCGCTGAATTCCGTTCGAGTCACTTGCAGTTCGCTCTTGTCGAGATAGGACGCGAGCTTTTCTAAGCTTGTGCTCAGAAATTTGTACGAATCGATGAACCGCAATTGCACGCACTTCTGATTGTCTTCATCTCGAGTACTGCTCACATGTTTCGTGAACGATATGTAGGTCTCTTTTGTCACGGGCAGCACGTTGATCTCACCCTCGAAAGCGGTGGCCACATCCTTGATAATAAAATGCGCGTCGTATCCCGATAAGTTGTGGAACACAACGAGAACAACGTAGACTTGTTTGTAATTCAGATTGCATGCGGAGTGCGCGGGTCCTCTGAAGCGTCCCGTCAGATGACTGATCGCGCACTCTCATGTCATCTCGCTCAAACGGTCGTTCGCAAACGTGGCAACACTTAGCGTTCCTAAACCGCTCGAGCTCCGCCGGTGTGAGATTCGCCATGGGTACATTTGTCGCGAACAAGGTCTTCGCACGTTTCGCGAGATCGTGCAGTTCGTTTACGAACCACTGCACACAGTTCTCGCCTCTGTGAGATCTGTATCCGATGTCAATGTGCTCGCAGCTCGCGTAATAACCGAAGCTGAACACGCTGTGTCTTTGGTACTTGTGCGCGCTCGATGCGTTCTCCTCTTTGTCCTGTTTCTCGAGTACGCACTCCAAGTCGGCGTACACCACCATTACAACCCGTTCCTTGTTGTTGTAATTCTTAAATTTCAAACAGTTCTTTCCCTCAGCGGGAAAAACGACTGCGCTGTTGTTCAATCGTTCACAATCCACGGTGTGTACTGCCAGCTTATCGCTTGTGTGGAAGTAGTGTAGACATCTATGTACGTGTTGCAATAAACGTACAATACACACAACATTGATTAATGAGTTCACCATCTCACAATGTAGAAAATTACTTTTTTATTCAACATTGTTGTTACTGTTACACCAATCGTTCGTACTTACCGATCGCATATGTATTTCATTCTTTTAGTTTTGCTCAATTGCGAGCTGACTAAACGCGATAAATTTTTTATCCACGCAAAGTGTCCCACGTGTCCATTGTGTTGATCGGGAACATACAGTAGATTCACATGCTTCTCCTTCTTGTTTGACGTGAGATGCAGCGGCACGTATCCGTGTCCTGTTCCGCCGCCGTAAACACGTTTACGGACACGTTGTTGTTGCGTTAGAAACGCGCGATTTGATGCAATGTCATTGGAAACTCTATTCCATCAAAGTTCAACACACTCGCGTATGTGGGATACTGTGATATTTGTTCGGAATGTGAAGCACTTAGATACAACGCGGCGACCACTGCCCACGCGAAACATGCATTGTCCGGCGACTGTACGTTCACTACCGCGTGTTTGAGCTGAACCTCACGCGACATTTTAATCTGACATCCTGCACGCATCGGATTGTGACTGTTCTCATTCACTGTGAGGTTCAGTATCTGC